GGAGTTGCGCCCCTGACGCGCGGAAGTTGGGGAAGTAAAAGGTGTCTCCCGTGTGGATGTTCACCAGCGGCCCCACAAACCCAGGATTCAGGAGATTATGCTCGCCCATTTCCGCGGGGCCCGACCGGCAGCTTCTACTTTATTGCTATCTGACATTAAACATAGTTAAACCTGCACCAGCCACCCATTGGCCGCCTAACTCACGTGGGTGCTACCGCCAGGGGGAGGGGTGGGGACAACCGAACCCCCCACCCACATTCCCCGCACCAACTCCAACTTCCCCCTTCCCCAATCCTGGGGCGGGGGGGGGTGTAGAGAAAGGCAGAAGCAGATTTATTCGTTGGATTCCGGTTTTTAAAAATCATATAAAACCTTAATGCAGACGGGGAAGCGATCGCCCGACGCGGGGCGAAACCAAAAAAAAAAAAAAAAAAGCGACACCAAAAATATCCGCACGTACACCTCTGCACCCATGCACACACCCCCCCCAGATGTATTATCTTATCACCAACAGCTGGCTGTCTACAGCCCGTCCCTCTTTAATTAGCTCCTTTATTAACTAAAACCGTTGGAATTTACAATATCTCCCCAATAAATTACTATTAGATATTGTGTCATATAAAGTTTACTGGCTGTTTAAGGAGACGGATGAGCCCTTTGGCTCGGGGTTTATTTACAGTAGAGGCGAAGTGGGGGTGAGAACAGGTTTCCTTGCAGCTATTTCTCAGCCCTGCCGCACTGCTGCGTTCTCTCCATTGCTTTTTTCTTCTTAGGATGTGAAGAGCTGTTTGGGGTTCCTTCACACAAGAAAGATTTAGGGGTAATTGATAACGCTATATTTTCTGTAACTCTAACCCCAGCCTGGAGCCACCTTAGCTTCCACTCACCGGAAGAGGAAGAAAACGAAGGTACTGAGAAGAACAAACGAAGGTGCTGAGTTCAGTATGGACCCGTTTGCTTATTCTTGAAAATCTGGGGGCAGGGGTGGTGGTGGTGGTGGTGGCTTGAACTACTTTTCGGGTGTGACGGGTGTGACTTCTAGGGACTGATGAGCTTCTAGGAGCCTCCTGGTCTTTGTGACAGGAGGTTGTCAGCGGTTTAGCAGAAACTGGCTGGCCTGAAAGATTGCTGTATTTCTACAGCAAAGAAAACCATCCCACACAACCTTCGGGCTGGCTTCTGGGACCATTACAGAGCAGCACAGAAGAAGTCAGGAGTGGGTTGCGTTCTGAGGTGGGACAAGAGTGAGGGAAAACCTTGGCGAAGTATCCTGTTGAGGATTCAAAATTTTATTTACGGTGCAAAAAAAAAAAAAAAAAAAGTCCAGAGATTGCCGAGGAGCTAGTGCTGGCTGTTAGCGATAATGAACATCTGCAAGTTCACATTGGGATTTCAACTGGGGCACCGAACAGCTCATGAAGAGAAAAAAAAAAAAGTTCAAATGCATTTTATTAGTGTCATAGCAGAGAAACTCCCATCTCTGATTATCTTGAGCGTCGGTTGTTCAAGGTTGAATATATAGTTTGACAACAAATACATGCTAAAAAGATCATGACGATTTTTTCAGAGAAGCGCGGGGGCGGGGGGGATATGAAGGAATGTAGGTGAAATATCTGGGAATTAGCCAAAGCTACAAAACGCAGACCGAATCGCAAGGATTCTCATCTCCCTCTTTTCTCTCTCCCGCCCCTCTCTCCTGTGCAGGACGCGGCAGAAAGAAACGCAGATTTTTCGAATTCCACTGTTCCCGAAGCGATTTCATATCCCAAACCATAGCTGCTCATACCGACAGAAATGTGGACACACTG